GCATCAACAGATTATTGCGAGCAAGATTTTCCGAGCAGGTAGAGCGGGGAGTTTGGGGGTTCAATAGTTGCTATGGATTAGATTTGGTGGTACCAACTTTATCACGTATTGCAGGTTTGAGGGTATGGGTGTCTACAACGGAATTTGTTTGCGTGGCTTGTGTTTCCTCACTTCCTTTTTCTGTGTATAATAAGTCCTTTTTGCCGGCTCTCACGCCAACCCCCGCTTCCACGCCCATACTCCGGCTATCACGCCAACCCGTCTTCCACGCCTTCAGGCCTTCCACGTTCCTACATATACTGAGTAGTCTAATGGGTAAGCCTTACTAACAACCTTTACATCAGGGCTTCCACGCCACCAGGCTTCCACGCCACCCGGCTTCCACGCCACAACTATATTATACGAGCTTCCACGCTCCATCACGTAGGAGGGCTTTCACGCCCGCGGATAGTTTCTACATTTTGACCGTTGGCAGTACCCAGCTGCTGGCACCTTTTGTTTCCCGTCACGGGACCCCGCGCCGAGGCACCCACGCACAAAGCTACTCAACAAGACACACCGTGCAACGTACCAGGTCGCTGTCTGTCATGCTCACGGGGTTTCCGTCTTTCCCCATATTTAAAAACCGCACAACACACGGGGCCTTGCGCCACTCCGTACAGAAGAGTAAATGAAAAATGCTACTGTACCCGTCCGATCATGAGCCTCATTCACTCTAGATCACCTAACCCCGCCCACCCTTCTCCCGCGAATTCCAGCATTCGTGTGGCTTGAGTGCAGCCCCACCATACGTGATTATGTTGTTTGGATATCTTCCTTTTGTCTAAAGAACAAATATCAACACTTGACTCCGTTTCGAACTTATTCACTACGTAAGGTACGCGCTGCACAGTTCAGCCCATGTGGCACCATGAACAATATACATGTAGCAAAAAACATGGCTTGCACTCAAGCCGTACGGGTCGACAGCCACGCCATCCCCCTCCACATACAGAGAGACGATGCACATGATAAGGAGACGAGCCTGCGTTTTTAACACCCGGCACAAAACATTCACCAACACACTCTTCCGCCTCTCGGTGGTTAATTACCGTACACGCGTTCCGACATCAAAATATAAGGCCTGGTCACACAAAGAAGGTCGGGTCGAACCACCGTCACAAGCATAGCGGCTTGTAAAGGCATCAATCACAACCTACATTCATTGTGGCCAACCTTACGGGCGTGCTGGTGGTGAAACCGCGACTCCGCCCAAAACCCGAGCTGCATTTCCCCGACTGTGTACCTGTGAACACCCTACCGTAAACACACATAAATATGTGCCTAATGGTTTAGAAGGGAGCAGTCACCCAGGGAGGGGGGGTAAGGCCACCTTCGATCCCATCCTCAATCCCAACGACCTATCTATGGTTATCTCCACGTAGCGCACTTTTTTATCCTCACACAAAAAAGCACATCCAAGCGAATCCTTGGCCGACGCTCTAATCTACAATTCCACAAGCTTTGCTGCACACCCTAAGACACCCCGCCCCGAGTGTTTTCCGTCCTGAGCACATGGCCTAGCCGGTCATGTTCGGGGAACGGAAGACCCTTCAGCACCCACAACTTCTCACCCTCGCCCATTATCCCAAGTAGTCTGATACAACTATCGAGAGGAAGGTGTAACACGAGCTCGGTCGTTGCTGATCTCGTCCCCCGCTGCCAACAATAAAAATAACCCCTGTCTGTGGAGAGATTTCGCTCGCAAGAGAAGCTCTGTTGGCATCAGACGTACACCCTGCATTGTGATCACGCGGTATCGTCTCGCTCCTGCCTTATTATGGTGGCTTTATCGAAACCGCCTTTGAAGCGTCAACAAAACACGGACACCATAAGACCAAATGACAGCCACCGAAGCACGGCAGGCTCCACAAAGGGCATGAACGCAGCACAAAATGAAAGACACGAAGCATGGCAGGGCTATAGCGATGACCGCACGCGAAGAGGAGAAACACTGGACCTCGACATTTCAGTGGCCATGCCAGGGAGTACCCATTCCCGTTCCCACCCTTGGCAACATTTTTCACAGTAGAAATTAGACCAAAGAAAGACTTTCCGTTGAGAACGAGATTGCCTTGTTCGACGGGACGGGTCAAAGTCTCTACTGGTACTGTGAGGGCTGCGGGGCACTTGAGCGATGGTGGACTTCTGTACTTCAAGAAAATTGCCACAGAAGACGGCAACGTTCCGCATTCGGCCGCCCACCGCGCGCAGGGTGCGCCGTGTGTTGACCCGCTGCCCCCGCCCTTCCCGCCATCATCGGTTCCCGGCCGAGCTTGCGCTACGGCACCTGCGGCGGTGGGGAGCCGGACCCTTGGCCGAAGCAGCCATGTCCTCAGCTTCCCTCCAACTACAGCCGCCTCTTGTGCGTATTGATGGCAACACGCGCAAAAGGCAGTGGCACTCGGAGGAAGCCGAGAACACCCCTGCTTCGGCAAAGGGTCCGGTTCCCCGCCGCCGCAGGCGCGATAGCGAAAGCTTGGCCGGGGACCGCTGATGGCCGGAAGCTCTGTGGGAGCGGGTCAACACATGGTGCACCCTGAACGCGGTGGGCAACCGAAGTTTGCCGAACTCCGCGATGTTAATGTTCGCAGGCAGGACCAACCTGGCAGCTAGGAGGTGTGTCTCTGTACCGGTGCTCCTTCCGAACACTTTCGACTAAGTAAGGAGAGGAGCTGATCTTGTCGTGGATTCCATCGGTGATTCCAAGAGGTTCTCTGGAGACCGAGCCATGGCCTGGTCCCTGGAAGCTTTGGTCTTGGCGGGTGTCATCTTCTTCGGCCTTTCCTTGCGAGTGGTGTCGAAGCTGCCGTGCAGGTGATACATTTGGGACCGAAACGTTTGTGGACGGGGAGGCTTGGCAAAACATCAAGAATATGATCTCAGGGGCCACAAGGTACTATGCAACAGGGGAGCAGTTCTTGGGCGCCATTAATGACCTCTCAAGAAGAATATTTTGGCGTACATGTACAATCAGCATCACTCGGACAAGGCAACGGGAGGGTTTACAAGGAACCAACCTCGTTTGCCACATGGCGGCCGCTGGGCCTGTGCCCCTCTTCTCGACCTTGTCCGTAAGGGGGTCACCCCGGGTGGTCGTGGCGACCAGAGCCCCCTTGAGACGCGCCGGCACGCTCGGGGCTTTAAGGTTCTCGTGACTGCTGCTTGCGGGGCGGGACATTGTTGTGGGGACAAGAACATCTAGTGTGGGTAGTGTTGAGGGAAGGCTGTTGTTAAACATCCTCATATAAATCTCACGGAGGATGACGTGCTGCCGAAAAACACCATGTAGGGGAGCAGAGGTTCTAACGCTGCGTACTTCTGCAAGATACAATGCTTGTGTTGGTTATTTGCTGGTGACACTGCTGTACAACGAACCCCGAAAAATGAAGCGGTCGCCAGCAGCAGCGGATGTAGCAGGTAACTTTGTTACTTACGATATTGCAGTTGACAACGACTCAATTCTCAATCTTCCATCCGCCAAGAACAGCAGCAACGGTAGCAGTGGCACCCGCAAAGCTCGTTGCCTCGCGTTGTGCAACACCGCGAGCCTTAAAAACACAGCGAGATGTTCCGACCCGTCGTGCTGCTGCTGCTACATGTATATCCTGCTGTCTCACGTGAGGAACATAAAATAATAAAATATACAGCAGTAACGCCGAAAGCGGCGGTCAGCCGGGAGTCGACTGCTGCACTGCTGTACGAGGCGTTTCAACTGATCGATATCGTGGTAAGCAGTTCGATCTACAAGTACCACCACTTGTATCGATAAGGTAAGAAACGCAGCTGCAACTTTTGTACCGACAGAACACTCAAATGATAGAGTGCTGCAGGACCCAGGACCCAGCAGATGCTGGTCAGTCGATGGTGAAGGCAAAAAAAAAAAAACATACGTACGCTACAGCAAACAATCTGTTGTATTGACGTTTGAGTGAGGACACGCACATAACAAAAGCTGACACCCTCGATCGTTGACAGCTTGCCATTGTCCCAACAAACTGACGACAGCGACAAAGATACGTACTCACGTGAGGCTACGCTACGCATCTGGTGTTGGAGAGGACGTGTGATGATCCACGATAGAGCAAGCGCAATACGGCACACGGCAGGCACACACGCGAAGAAAGCAACGCACACCTCGTCACCTCGCAACCCTACCCTCTCCACACAATGAATGCTGCAGTGCGAAACCACGCCACTTACCACAATAGTCAGCAGCTCAGCACGCTCCCCTCGCCTTCCACAGCTCACTTTCTTTGCTCTCGTCCTGCGCCTCCCACACAGACCCGAAAATCGATCATCATGGCTGTCCAATTCTCCTCCATCGTTGAGGTACGAATGCCGAGGGAGGACCGGGATCCTGGCAGCTTGTCATCCTCTCTGTGTCGCTTTGCCATCATCCAATGCTACCACCAACCAACTAACAGTACACGTCTACGTCTACGTCTACACTCTCTGCCTGCTCTGCCTGCTCTGCAGCTCTGCAGCTCGCAGAAAAGAAGACATGAGTATTTTTCAGAATCTTTCGGTTTTACGCTCCCCACCTCTATTCAAATTTGAAATTAAAACCGCCACTTTCGTTGGATCCATCCACCACCAAAATGGCTTGCACAAGATGACAAAATACTTCTAAAGAGAGCTGTCAAGAGCTCGTCGAAGTCACCAGCGCACAAATAATAGTGTCCGGATATTTGACACATGCGCCAACAGAGCAGCAGAGACGGCCGACTCGTTGCGAACCTCGCGTCTCGCGTCATCTTCTCCCGACGGAAATTCGAACATTCAAACCAGGTTCTTGAAAGGCAAGAAACATTCTAGACGGACCATCGGGATCGTTCTTTAGGATCGTTCTTTGGGTTCTTGGGGAACGTGGAGAACCTGGTTTTCTAGAAAGCTCCCCCTCACCCCTCTCTCCCTCTGCTCTCTCGCCGTGCCCTTCCCCCACACAACTCACAACATCCATGAACACCATCAAACACAACAACTGCGACAACAACGACAAGATGATGACCACCTCTTCCATCAAGATCAACTTCCAGGGCGCTTCACGCGACGTGAACGTTCCGGCTCCGGTTACGCTCGACAGCCTCCAAGCGGCCATCGCCGCCGCCTTCGATGCTGAGCTGCCTGTCCGCTCCCCCGCGGGGGAGGCCGCCAAGGACACCGACCTGTCGTTCACGTACAAGGATCCTGATGGGGACGACATCGTGTTCGACAAGGATTCCGAGCTGAAGCTGGCAGTGCGCCTATGCCCCAGCTCGCTCGAGATCTCGGCTGCCCTGAAGGAAAGCAAGGTGAGCGAAGAGACAGCAGATGTTTGCTTCTCTTCAAGGAGAGGAAAAAATCACACGGTGTTGTAGCCGAGGGAGAGTCTTGCGCGAGCGGTCGCGCGTACTCGCAGGGCACAGGGTTCGATGCCGTCGCGGGTAACTAGTCGTGCTGCGACACTCACGTCCCGTGCTCACGCTGCTTCATTCGTTGTAAAGATATTTTATTTTTGGTTGCTTCTTGAGCTGGGCGAGACAGACGTACCTACAGCAGTAGACGTGACGAAGTTCTCGCGGCCCCGAAATATCTGGTGATCTCTCTTGGCCCTCGCCCTTTGTGTTGGTCGCCGTATCGACCCTGACCGTCTGACTTATACCATATGGCGAGCTATCTATCATTGATCATATGTTATGTACCACCTCATGCGCATGTGGCGATTGTCTCCATCGTAGACTGCCTTCAGAACTCGATAAAATCGGTCTGACCGGAGTGGAGGAAAGAGAAACAACACATCCTCTGTAGATGCATGCAGTACACTGCTGCTCGCTGTATGCTCGCTGTATGCTCGATGTACACAGCGGCAGTGTACAGGTACTGCATGTACAATAGTCCTCTCCTCTGTTGTATATCCCCTGCCAGAACCAGGACAATAAAAAAAAACACCACCGATGCCCTGCCAGAACCAAGACCATAAAGACACCAACCACCGATATAATATCTCCAACCCCCCCCCACATCACATTTTTGCCAACGTTGAACGGCGGTTGTGCACAGACATTATGTACCTTCTCTGTGACGAATGCTTTTGAGCTGATTTTTTTTTTTCGTTGCTGGCATTTAATTACGCATCGAAATGTTATGTACCGTATCGCACTTCATGTTGTGTCCAGAAGTTGGCCCCATTTTACCTGCACCGCCAAGAATTCCTTTTCCCCCACAACCGCACCGCGCTGAATTCCCCCCTGCTTTCCTTGCCCACCCTGTGCACCTCTTCCCTCTTCCCTCTTTACATGTAACCTCAGCCTGCTAACAAGCCCGACCCCGAAGCGAGGCTGTACAAGATCGCCGCCCGTAACCTGCGCGAGTACAACGGCGTGCCCTCCATGACCCCGCCCAAGCTCATCAAGACCCTGGCTTTCCTCAAGCTGAACCCGCAACGCCTCGTAAAGCAGGGCCTCGCTCCCAAGGTTCTTCTGGCTCGCATGAAGGCCGAAGCCGCCAACAACGCAAAGGTATCGAAGGTTCCTCTTGGTGACGGCAAGAACAACGAGGATCTCGCCGACTCGGTCGCCGCCGGCATGGAACTGATGAGCGTGGAGGACAAGAAAGAATGGAACGACGGCTTCGTGTCCGCCGAATCGGACGCGCCCGCTGCCGCGGCGCCCATCACCGCCGAGACTTCCTCTCCCGACAACGACAAGGAGGAGGAGAACGATGACGCTGCGCCTGAGGTCAAGAAGAACCTCATCCACAAGGCCTTCATCGCAGGCGGCATCCAGCTCCGCCCTCGCGAGGTGCGGCCCCTGCTCGTCGCCCTGGACGTCCGCCCCTGCCGGCTTGCCAAGCTCGGCCTCGTCGACGGCAAGGATCTCCGCGCCATGCTCCAAGCCGAGAAGAAGGCCGCCCACAAGCGTCACGGCCATGACAACAACAACGATGACACCGCCGCCCTCCACCACCGCCGCCACCACCACCGCGACTACCACCGCCAGCAGCACCGCATGGCAGGCCGCCCCCACCCCTTCGCCCCGCCTCCCCCTCCCCCCCCGGCTCACCAGGAGGTCGGCGACGCCATGTTTGCCGCGCGCGGCGGCGGTGGCGGCGCCGGCGGCCGCCGCGGTGCCCCTCACCGCCACGGCCCGCCCCCTCCGATGAAAAGGATAATGCGCGGCGGCCGCCCCCACCCCTTCGCCCCCCCTCCTCCCCCGGCTCACATGGAGGACGACCACGAGGCGCCCGGTGGCGGAGGCGGTGGTCGCCGCGGTGGCCCTCTCTTCCACCCGGCCCACCAGCACTACGCGGAGGTGTTCGACGAGGATGAGGGAGGCCACCCCGGTTTCCACCCCCACCATGACCCTCCTCGCTGGATGGCGATCCGCAGGGCTCACGGCGGCGGTGGCTACGGCGGTGGCTACGGTGGTGGCTACGGCGGCGGTGTTGGCCAGCAGCAGCGCAGGGACTACTACTGGGGGTGAGCATCTTCGTCACCGTCAAGCCGAAGGAGGAGGAGCCTAGCCGTCTACTACCGTTCTACTCTCTCTTTGTTCCGCGTGTCGTGGGGCAAGATTGAAGGACGGCATGAGAGTAGTTGAGTTGGTGTAGCCTTGTCTTTCGGTACTATTTGCAATTGGGCAGAAGCCTCCCTCGGAAACACTGATACGAGGGGTGGAGAACGGAAGGTTTTAGTAGACGAGAACCGTTTCACCGTTTGGCTTCTGCACTCATGCAGCACTACGATAGGCGTATATGCTCGAAACATCTTTCAAAGTAAAACCGTCTTGGTTTGATTTGAGTTCGGCCTTTCGTGGTTTCTTTGTTTTTTTCTGTGCTCACGTTCTTGAGGGAGTCGTTTATGTTGCGTGTAAGTGTATAGTCGCTGTGCGACGCAGAGTAGCTGATTGCGAACGGGTAAACCAACGAGTTCGTGGCACCGTTTGCGTGTGGCGTCAGAGTGTTGTTGCAGCGGGTATGCATACGTTGATCTCGTTGTTTTGAGTTCGTACGGGGAGGAGAGTACCGCTCGTGTGGCATACACGTGGAGTTAAAATGGATAAGAAGGGACTGCTGTGCACCCACTACTGCTGTCAGCAGCAATAGCAGGAGACAGCGGTCGGTCGGAACACCGGCGGTTCACAAGTGGAAGCGGTAATTGTTGAAGTCTCAGGGAGGCACACGTCGCGCAGCGGTGTTGTCTATTGCGTGCACTTCATGGGGTAAAAAAGGCGGTTTGGGTAGTCAAACGCCGGCCATGTTGATTCTTCAGACTGGAAAGTATTCAGATAGGTGGATGGAATGGGGGAGGGAAGTAAATGTAGTAAAAAAAAGTAGGCCGTCCCTGTGGCGAACTGGGCTATGACTTTGCAGTCTTCAACAGCAACTACAGGTGTGTCAGCGTGGGCATGGGAGAGAGAGGAGAGGGAGCGAGTTCCACCCACGATGTGATGTTAATTGTAGAGAGGAAAATGAAAGAAAACAAAAGACCCAAGAGGTCTCAAAAACCAAAAACAGTCTTAACCTTATGTCCTCACGACATCTGTCCGCGGCGACGGCGGAAAATATGTTTTTTCCTACCCTCCTTCGCCTCCTCTCTTTCCTTGGATCACGAGAGGGGCGAGCGCGTCGCAGCACGTTCTATCCGTCGTTATGTTGACACTAGAAAACGTTCACGAGGTACTCTTGAAACATGCGATCGCGGCGCCGAGACCTCCTTTGTTCCATTCTTATTTCTAGTCGTGTCATGCGGTTTTTTAGCGCCGGGATTGGATGCTACGGCTGTGGGGTGAGTCATGCCCCCCATGTATGCTACCGGTGCTTGCTTTGTGTTTGACGTCGTCTGTGTCACTCATGAGGCCACCAACAACAACGACGAGCAACTTTTTTGAGTCACGACTGTTCAACTTTGGAACGGTTATCACGGACGACGGCAGGAAAGTTGTTCGTGCGTTTTTTTCATGTCAGGTCGGCTGTGGACAGCCGTCAACATCACTCCTTCCTGAAAACAACATCGAGGACACTCAAAACAGTCTCTTGTTTGTCGTCACCGCCACGACTCTCGTCGCAGACAACGCACAAAACGCAGGAACCGGTATGTATGCCTCTGCTGTACCTCTGTCTTGTGGTGCTTATTTCAGCCAGAGTGAGCGCAGATGCTCGTGCACGGTAGGCTGGGTACGTACCGTATTCGGCAGATCGAGGTACTCCGTGGAGGTCAGAACTTTTCTCGCTTGAGGTCAACAACAAGAACGACGACAACAAACAAACACAAAGTTGCAGACAGCTCTCTTACATTATACGAGTGTGGGGACACACGCATGCAACGAAACACAACAGATCCCTCGTCAAATCCAAACAAATCAACCCGATTGGCACAAAAAGGTGCGTACACACGCGTATGTATATATATGTACTTCCGCAAACACAACACGAATAACAGCCAGCCGTCCAAGACGCTTCTCAATTGACACTGCTGTGCTGGGAACCAGACCGTGAAGTCATCTTGACGGCGGCTAGACGGTAGAACATAAAACAACTCCCAACAACGTCACATCAATACACACTTGATTTCAGCCCTTGGTACTCTACAAACTTCCAACACGTACACACCCGAAAATCCGTCAAAAGCGTGTTTGGCCCTGAAAGCACTCGAGCGACATGTCTCACTACTACGCGAACGCGCCGAGCTAGGTTCAAAAAGACATGGAAGTCATCAGCGTCCCTCAGGACTGCGCGGCTGTCAAAAGAGTCTCACGAAGCTGAGACGTAAGAGAGAAGGGAAGTCAAAAAAGAAGCCAAACCATCAGAAAAGGGAGCACGCAAACCACAACAGCAATCAAATATCTTTCGGCGAAAAGGCGAGGTACAGGAAGATCCTGACAGAAAAACCCAGGCACAAAAGCTTGAAAAAAGGCCATGAAAGAGACACCTGCACCAAGCAAGGCGCACGGAAACAGAGATGAGCGTCCACAAGAAAACCGCGCTGCACGACATATGTTGTTACATGACGGAAGAAACAAGGCAATCCGAAGACACAAGAAATCGATCAGGGTCACGTCCCGTGTGCACCCAAAATCCTGAGGTCTCAGCACCGAACCCCGTTAAATACAATAGTATTCTGTGTTTGTACGCAGATTTTCTATTTTATAAGAAAAAAGAAAGAAGCGGCACACAAGGTCAAGATAAATCCTGGGGGGCGCGGAGGGGGGGGGGGCGAAAAAATGCGCGCGAAAAAACAAACTTTCTTTATCTCCAAGAGGGAAAGCAGATCCAACTCAAAAGGCTCCACTTCATCTTTGGGCTTTCGTGGCGTCCTAGTGCACAAAATGTAATCGGTGGGCCGTCCCACATCCCGAGAGGCCGTCCCACTAAGCGTTCCGGTTTGAGCTATTTTGCCGGGGCAGGTCAGGGGGGGTGGGAGGGTTCGTACGGCAAGCAGGCCGAGGGCTCAAACTCAACCGCTAACTTCCGCCGTCGCTTTCGGAGGACTACCGCCCACACCGCCGCCGGTGCAACCCCTCACCCCCACACCCCCACCCGCCGAGGGGATGTAGGTGTTGCACCCAAGACGCGTCACTTCTACAATAAACCCTTCCGCCGACGGCCCCTTTCCAACTTCATCGCCCTCTCGGCTACAACTTAGAACGCGGGGCGCTACCCTCTCCCTGGGGGGAGGGGGCGGGGTACTCTCGTTTCGCAGGCCTTAGCAGTTAGGCCATTGACCACTGCTCCAGGGGGGAGGGGGGGGGGTGCCATTGTCTCGCCTCGCCTCCATTTCCGCCTCTCACAGCCTCGGCCTACACCCCTGCCATGTGTCCCGCGGAAACCCCACACCTTGACTGATCTACTTCCCGCCGACGGCCCCGGCAGAAGAAGCAGCTGCGGCGGCAGCAACAGCGGCCTTGGTGTTTGGGACTGGCCGGCTTTGTTGCTGCAAGCGCTGCTGTTCTTGTTGTTGCCTTGAAGCGCAAGTCATGAGCGCCGATACGTGCGAAACTACCCCTCGCACTAGGCCTCCGTCCCAGGCCCGTATAGCCGCGTCTTCTCCTTCCCCCTTCGCCGCCGACGCCGCCACGGGGACTTTCCGAGAAGCTTTCTTGCGGTTTCCGCCGCCAACGCCGCTGGAGACGGGGGGGCCGCAGACGACAGCGACGGGCACGGCGGGGTCCTCGCCAACGACACTGCTCGCGCCTGAACCGGTCGCGCCGAAACCGCCCCCGGGAGGCTTGTCCGAGGGCGAGAGGGAGGAGGCCCCCACCGCCGCGATCGTGTTGCTTCCGGCTGGCGCAGAAGAGAGCAAGGGTGCTCCTGCTGCCGTCCGCACAGCAGCCGGAACCGTGTGCAGCATCGCCGCCGCCGACTTGCTGTCGGCCTGGTTACCCGCACCGGGGGCACCCACCGAGGAAGAATGAGGCTGCGGGGGAAAGCTGGCGGCCGAGCCTGCCGCTGCCGCCACTGTTGCCACAAACTGTGGTGGCGGTCGTTGTTGCGCGTTGCCGCCGCCGCTCCCGCGCGTTGCGGGGCGGTTGCGGCGCTCGCGAAGGGCCGGGCCGGACCCGCTCCCCGACGCGCTGCCACCTGCCCCGCTGCTGCCGCTGGTCGTCGAGGCTGCCGCAGCAGCAGTCTCCGGCTTGTTTGCTCGTTTGTTGTTAGCTCGTGCCTGCGGCGGAAGGGAGAGAGGAGGAGGAGGAGGAGGAGGAGGAGGAGGACAAAGGAATACCGTTTCGATCGATCGTTCGAAAGCGGAGAACAGACGGAAGTGAGAGAGAGCAATGAAAACGGAAGGCGAGGATTAAACACACGGCTGCACATTTTTTCTCTCTCTTCCCTCTTCCGCATGAAAGGCTTCAGGTAAGGCCGCAGGAACCAACAAAAACTCCTAGCCCCAAAAGGGAGCTACGGCAGAGGACCTATAATAATATTAGTTGAAGAACAACTAAATGTGGAACGTGGCCTAGGTGACTGCGGCATTTTTCGCTTCATCGAAGCGTGGATGGACGTAGAGGTATTCGTGAGCAGCAAGGCTAGGTACTTTGTGGACGAGGAGACCAATCCCTTCCGTCATCTTCCGTATTTCTGTTTTGGGGGTGTAAAAAAACGATGAGGCAAAGCGGGCCCCGGTCGGCTAGAATCTCCTAAGGTACCCCCTCTGTGGGCCCTCCTTTCCCGCGTCCCACGACAAACCGCCTCACGGAACTCAGCGAGAGCCGGTTGACATGCACAACAAACGTCACCAGGTACAGCGGACCTGCCAAGCCTGTACGACATACCACTGCACACGACTAAGCCTAGCTGCCGGCAACAGACAAAGCAGTAGCTCGCCACTACTCACCTGCTGCGCGGCCTTCGCTCGAGACACCCGGGCCTCCAGAGAGTAGCCCCCCTCCAGCACCGAAACCACCCGGCCGGTCGGGCAGCAGTCCGCCAGAGCCAGGGTCACCCACTCGTACACCTCGTTGGAGAGGTAGTGGTAGTAGTCCTCAACGTGCCCGTCGAACCCTGATCACGGACACCACCATCAATCCGGTGGTATTAGACACATGGGGCGAAACAGATGAGTCGGGGAACCACCACCACTCCTGTTTTCTTGGCCTGTTTTCTTGTGGATTCTGTCTCCGTACCGTGGATCGTTTAAGCGTTGGGTTGGATGAAGCCTCCTGCGCCGGGCAAGAGTCCTCGCCCCAATTTTTGAAGGCATCCGGTCTAGTCGCGTTTTGGTAAGTGTTTTTTTTATGGTTGCTCTCCTGTGGCGGGAGCATGATTCTCCCGCCAAGCCGCCGCCGAAACCCGGGTACTCAGAACGCATCATCATGCACTCTCTCGTGTCTTCGCACTTTGGTGCCACACTCTCTCGTGTCTTCGCATTTGGTGCCTTGACGGGGGACAACACAACCAGCCTTTCAAAAAACTCCCAAAACACATCGTCACGATGCACGTCATACATACCCTCGAGAGCTAGTTTTCTTCTTGCTGAACCTACTCACGGCGCCGCAAGGAGCAACACTACGGTGGGTGCTGTCTGGACACCAACCTTCGTACGCTTGTTTTCATTTTCTCCAAAGAAAGCGCAGCCTTTCAGAGTTGCTCTGTTGTATTGCCAGATCAATCCAACATTTGCTACTCGGTTGTGTCGTGCTCGTGCTCCACACGACATTGCACCGCTCGCGTCATCCTATCTTCGAAAAAAAAAAACTTGTAGAAATCTCTATTTAGCACCTGCCCATGGGTGATTTGAGGCAGGGTTGGGGAATGCCGTTTTCCGTGGTGAAAGAAAACAGCAAAAAAAGATACACATGAGCAGTATGCACTACATGGTCCAAAATAGCTGGTAATAAATACCATTGTTAAGGTACGCTCGCGCCTCGACATCCCACCTGCTGAAATGATGAGCAGATCCGGGCTGAATTCCTTCAGTCTGGCCAACAGAGTCTAATCCAGTCCGCGATGTCCCCGCAAACAGTAGACAAGGAATCAAAAACCAACCACAGCAAACGGTCCCGTCCTCACGGACAGACGGGTGGATCAGATTGGCATCACAAGTATATTTCGGGTGCATGAGAAAAATTGCGGTAGAGGCAACATCAACCAGCCGTTGTTGCGCATGTCAAGTCATCATCGATGGAAGTGCAAGCGATACTCTTACTACAGTTTCGAGGAGCACCGAACACGCCACTGTGCTTGGCAACTCCTGACACCGCTGGCCGAGAGAGCAAGCAAACGACTGAATAACGCAGCGTCTACAGCATCAGAGCGACCCTAAAAGACGCGGCACGGCTGGCTCACTCACCCTCTGGCACTTTTGCTTGAACTCGTTGCAGGCCTTGTTCGTGTACTCGGTTACCTTCGTCTTCGTCAAAGCACGCTTCTTCCTGTTGAGTTTCATGTGATTTACCCCCACACAAAATAAGACACAACATGCACACACCGCGCACGAGCGCAGAGATGTAAGCTGGAGATATGAAGTAGACATGAAGTAGACAGGCACATACTCTGAATGTTTTTATTTAGCCAACAACCTCACGAGAACCGTGGCTTGCACACTCGTATGGCGACCGCACCCGCCCCCAAAAAAAACAATACGCAACGTTCTTGCGCGTGCATGCTTGAGGCTCAGGCAGTTCTCGCGTCGCGATCATATCGTCTTCCTGCTTGATTGTCGCAGCATGAATGAGGTGCTGATGGTGATGGAAAGGTCACGGTAATACCGCCGCTGCAGCTACTATCCTGCTGATGAATTTTTGTTGGTGTCGAATGACAATTCACACTACCGCTACAGGTACAACGGCCCTTTCCACTGCAACGGGAAGTCCAGTCTGCTGCGTGGGCAACGGCAGATGGGCGTGAGCCGGAAGCTGGAACCCGCCGAGGACAAAGACAATCGCTAAAGCTAAGTAGTGATACGGCTGCCATGTTTGCATACGCAGTCCAAGCAGCCGAAGCCCTCTTCCTTTTGGCCAGAGATTTCGAAAAAGAGAAACCGTAGAAATACAGGCAGTTTCCGCTGACAGCATGAATTCATTGCTAGTCTATCTTAGACTCTTTTCAATGGATAGAAATGGATTTGTTGTGTCATACCAAGAAGAAGAAGAAAAAAAAAAAAGAAAGACAGTAAAGCAGTGTTGGTGTGAATCAGCTGCCAGCTGCCATCAGTGACGTTTCTGAAGCTCGAACAGCTCACACAGCTCTCGTGTTTTTGACTCCAAGAGCCCAGCGAGAAAACTCAACGAACCAAAAGAAATTAACGAATCTGTATACAGTCGTATATATGTTGTACTCACGGCTCGTCACCCGGCGTAGGCCCAAGAGGTGACAGGGACACGTTGACGATGTTGGCGTCGTTGTCATTGAACCGCTCCTCTTCTGTGCCTGAAACAGCGGCAGCAGAGGTAGAAGTCGTGGCAAGTATTGGACACAAACGAGAAAGGAGCCAAAAACAAAAACGTCGACAGAGATGATTTTTTGTTCTTCTTTCTTTAAAAAAAAATACAAGAAGAAACCAAGAGGAATGAACCACTCGAAAACCAGAAGAGAAGTCTATCCCTTGGCCAGGCAGCAGTCTGCAAGGGCACAGAAGACCACACAAGTTGGTCGGATCGTAAACCCCTCACAAGAACTGCGTGATCGTCTCTAAATTTACGTACCAATGTTTTCGAAGGCTGTACACGAGATAGGGAAGGGTTCAATATAGTGGGGCAGTCACTTTACATGATAGATAAAGTGCGAGCGTTGTCACGAACAAAACGAGTATCGACCAACAACCCGACAGCATGAGAAGGGAAACGCAGAAACGCAGCAACTGGTACGAAGGATGCGAGTCTGCGTCCTACGACAACCTCCTCGGCCTCCCCCCCGCACCCATGCCAGACCAGCTCTCAAGACCGAGGCCCGATCTCGGTCACAAGGCAACACTTCTTCGTTTCAAAGCGCATCAGCAGCAGCTAACCAGTAGCAGCAGCGGCAACAACAACAACAACAACAACAACAACAACAACACTTACCCGATGCCGGGTAGAACAAGTCCTTATCCTGGAGGCTGACCGACCCGAAGAAGACGTTGTCCGCGTCGCCATCGTCTAGCCAAGGCTTGTACACGGTCTTCGTCATGGGCGGCCAGCTAGGGGGCAGCGGCAACCGCGTGGTCATAGGCCGCAGGCACCTACACGACCACCATGACACAACCAAAGCGGCACCAAAGAGCAGTTGTCATGGAAGCAACTGACCTCACCATCTGTGCAGCTCTTTGGGGTTGCCTTACGAGTAGACCGGCACCTGGAATCTGCTAAAGTTTACGCTCGGTGCGGCAATAACCAAGGGATTTTGTAGTAAACAACAGTATCATCTTAGACATAGCGGCGCAACATGGCCGAAGGAGGATTAGGAGCCAACAGAGAGTAGACCTTAGTGCGAAGGGGAATCCATAGTGCGAATGGCCGGAACTCGCATAGAGCCTCGCACCTGCCACCGACGTCTCTCCTATCGCGGCTTATTTACCGGGCACCTAACAACATTGACGACAATCGGAGCTACGTTCTTACGGCGTCGAAAGGAAGACATATTCTCTAATGTCTTTGTCCAAGATCGACATATCGATCACCCGAGAAAGATATCGGAGTTTTACTGATCAAAGCCTTGTGAGTTACTGCTGTTGCTGCTTCTGCTGCTGCAGCTGCGGCTGCTGTCGTAAATTAGTTTTATTTTCTGTGGTTTCTCGCGGTTCTTACCGGACGATCTCCTCCGTGCCGTTGCCGTGGTGTATGTCGATGTCCACGATGGCCACTCGAGACAGCTCGCCAGACCTCCCGTACCTTCCAGCGACAACCAAAGCAGACATTCAGCAGCAGCAACAGCAGCAGCAGCAGCAGCAGCAGCTGTGTGGGCATTTCTAATCACCAACCAAGAACCCGCATCCTACGATACGAATGTCGAGCACCAGCAGCGGCAGAAGAACCAACCAACCACCACCATCGCCATCACCAAAATCAGCGGCAGCGCGCGGGAGGTTCAACTTTCCAGACCAAGACAACAAAGACGATCTCCCACAATACATACAATGCTGCATCGTTGCCGCTGCTGGCACTGTGTACAGTGCGTCATCTGCATTTGCGGTTCTCTACTTCTGCTGTACGCCTATGCTCGCTACCTACCTGCATCTGGCGTACGCCGCTCCGATGGCCGCGTTGTTGAGCAGGCAGAAGCCGCTGCTGTTCATGCCGGGGTTCTTCCAGAAGGACGAGGCTGGTGCGGACCCGCTGCAAAAAGAAAGAAAAACGAAGAAAAAAAGACACATCAGCACCAGCGTGACAACGACACAAAATAACAGACGCGGTTAAATATTGTTGAGAGGGGCAACAACACACCATCAACATCATCAACGACAGTAACAAAGAACAGAATACACAGCCCGCAGAGTTGGGAGGGAAAACAAGCCTGGACGATTCTGAGAAGATGCAGAAAAAGCGGATGGGGTGTGGAGGAGTGGCTTGAGCACCCTAGGTTTCTGTAAAAACGAACGGAGCATCTCAGACCCATCCTCGCTGCTGCTCAGCAGAACAATCACACGAAAGACCAACGAGTCAGAACGAGAGAGAGAGAGAGAGAGAGAGAGCAACGAGGATTCTCTTGAGGGAACAAATGACGTTTGCGGGGCGTGTGTGAGCAGGGGAGCCAAACCGGGGGGGGTGGGGCGAGAGGAGAGAGATGAGGACATGCGTGGGGTAGGGTTATTACTACCCTTCACGGTGATTCTCAGCAAGAGGGACCGACCCATTCCCCCTGCACCGCTCCTGTAGACCAAGATCTACATGGAAAGGCGATAAGAACTTCTCAGAAATTCTTGTTTCCCTCGGGAAAGAAAAGTGTTACCGCCGGGGAGTGAGGCGAGCGAGCGCTGGCGGGTGTCGCCACCACAATTGTACCCTCCGTCGGCAAAAAGAAGTTTCGTCTTGTTCTTGCTGCTTCGTTTCGTCGTGTCTACATGTATGTACGTTCCACAACAAAAATGCACATTCTAGAACAATATGTAGTCTCTACAACAAATTGGTACATTCTACAACAAATACATGTTCTACGTGCCAAAATGTTTTCGCCAGACGCAAGTGGTGGTGGTCCGCGAGTGCGGCAGAAGCAGGTTGTTCAGCAGCATCTACGCAAAGACGGCGGCGTGCACGGTCCTTTCACAAAAAAAGGTCGCGGTCGGGGATACGTACACAGAGCGGGTCCCTCCAAAGGCGTGTGCTGCGTACCGAATAATTCCGAACGAATAAATACGCCACACGCAGCCCCCTCTCTCCCGCTGATATTGCGGAAACGGGGGGGGGGGGGGATATATTGGTCACCCCCCCCACTCTACTGCATGTGCCGTCGTGCCAAAGTACGCTATCTAATCGAAATGGGCAAAATAGAGGCTACGAGCCGGCCGCGGCGGCGGCGGCGCGGCGGCGGCGTGTTTAGACTCACGAAGGCCCGGCGTGGTGTCCGGGGGGTCTGACGGCGACGAAGGCGTTCGGGTTCTTGCCCTGAACCACTCGGTCCACCTGATGGAACGGTTGCACGGTACACGGTACAAATAGTATGGTGGCATGGAATGACGTGATATGGCACGGTATGGTGTGTCAGTGTGGTGCGGTACGGGTGCCCAGAATCGGTCCACCTGGTGGCACGGTGGCACGGTACACGGTACACATATGGTTCTATGGAATGGTGTGATGGCACGGAATGGTGTGTTAGCGTGGTGCGGTATGGTGCAGTGAAGAAAGACTCTGCAGTTGAGCAGTCGAAAAAATCACACGATGAAAAATGCGGGACGGTTCCGGTCAACCAATGAGAACACTTCGGTGGATATGGGTAGCCCAAGAATCCCAAGTCTCAGGCAGCGTACTGGAAACAAGATGTGGCGCTATCGATAGTGGTACGAAAGGGTTCGTTACGGCGCTGCACGAGAAAGCACCAACCCAGAATCACAAGCGGTTCCTCCAAAACGCGTTTCTCCAGGCGGATACCGGGCAGGACATACTACGGCGCGAAACCAAAACAAGCCACAAAAGACCTCAGCTGTTCCCTGTTATTGTACATGTCATTCTGTGCTCTGCAATGTGACGGGAAACAGCGGTCATCAATGAGAACGAAACGAAGAAACAAGAGAGAAAAGGAAGAGCTCGCTAAAAGCTCTCGTTGTGTCGGTGAAAGGGGGGCCAGTGGCGCATCATCTCACCGCCAGGATGACCGCGCCGGCAGCCGTCCTCGCCGCCCCGTACGACTCCCTCGAGACCCTCGTGTCCACGTCCACGTACCCGACGTCGGCCTCGAACCTTCGCCCGAACCCGCCTCTGGCGTCACCCGCGGCTTCTTCCTTCTTCTTGCTCGGCTGCTGCTGCTGCTGCTGCTGCTGCTGCTGCTGTAGCTGCGGCGGGAGCTGGTTGTCCCCGTGGTGGCGGTGGTGGTGGTCAACTGCGGCCGTGTCAGGACCAAGCGGGGTGCTGGACGGGGGCGCTCCTGCGCAACGCTCCTGCAAACACCAACCAAAACACGGCGGGAAGAAACTTATTGCTCCGCGAGGGGGGGGACGCGGAGGGGGCGAGGAATCCAACACTGCTGCCGGGGCGTGTGTGCTCGCCGGACATGCTGCGCTCCGCGAGCGCTTCTTCTGCGGTTCAGGTCGTTGCTGCCGTTGCGAGAGCGCAGAGTCGTCTGCAGTTCAAGGCGTAGCTGGCGTTAAGAGAGCGCAGGGCCGCCTGCAGTGCAAGCCAGGGAAGGGAAAACAACGCGGGTGTACCTACCGTAGGCGTAGGCGGCGTATTTATCATCGATTGTGTGGTTGTTCCCCTGTCAACATGCGTTTCTCGATGGCGTCATTACACACACCACCATGAAGAAGACAAATTGGATATGGAGCGATCACGATCAACTGCAGGAAATGGACTACGCTAATGTAGCAACATCGTTCCGAGGAGCAAGTGTCACAGGAAGCGATTGTGATATTCACGTTGTTTGCACAGAGTATCGTCTATTTTTCAAGCACTCTGCACCCGAATGCTGGGTCGCCCGTTCTCGACGGCCTCCTGGAAGCCCCAAGCGTCAGTCTCGGGAGGCTGTGCACCAAAACGCGCTCGCTCAGTTCCCGCGCGGAGGGTCGCCGCACATGCTTTGGGGTTCCGGGGCATATGTTTCTACCTCCGCATTCGAGGCGTACTGGAAGGGGTCGGATGCGAACAGGTTCTCGTCGCCGTCCCCGCCGCCGTTGAGCCTATCGCCTGACGTCTGGGGTCCGCCGCTCGGCGGCGGGGACGGCGGCGGGAACCCGTTCGCAGCCGACCCCTTACGGTACTCCTCAAGTGCGGAAATGGAAGCGTGTGATCCGAAACTCAAAAGCATGTGCGGCGCCCCCTCCCCCCCGCGGGAACTACGCGAGCGCGCTTTGGTCCACGGATTCCTCAGACTGACGTTTTGTTCCCCACGAGACTCGTGTATGTTTATTGGCCACCCGGTAAAACACGGGGGGTCGCCGCACATGCTTTGGGGTTCCGGGGCATATGCTTCTACCTCCGCATTCGAGGCGTACTGGAAGGGGTCGGATGCGAACAGGTTCTCGTCGCCGTCCCCGCCGCCGCTGAGCCTACCGCCTGACGTCTGGGGTCCGCCGCTCGGCGGCGGGGACGGCGGCGGGAACCCGTTCGCAGCCGACCCCTTACGGTACTCCTCAAGTGCGGAAAGGGAAGCATTGCCCAGGAGCCCCAACGCATAGACCACGGCACCCTGCGCATTTATCACATTCTAGGTCGAACGACAAAGCGATCCAAAAAAGACAGAGTACGCCAAACCATGAATAGACGCAGAAAAAGACTACGGGGAACAAACCCGCAAAGGGCGCGAAGCGGAGAGTGAAGGAAGGAGCTTGCGCTTCGAATTGGTACAGACATCCGCGGATGCTGCTGTACTCCGAGGCAGACGTACGTCTGCCTCGCATGCTGTTGGCGTTTGGAAACGTGGTGATGACATATTTCTTCCAAGGGCAGCATGGTTCCGCTTCCATTGTTGCTGTCGGTGTCTCCACGTAAAAAAACCGTCCCGGTCTCTTGCTCTGTACCACATTCTAACACCCGCACCGGTCTAACTGACGCGGATGTCTTTCGCCAAAGGGGCTGTTTTTTCACGGCGGTAGGTAAGGGTTGCAGGGCGCCGCCAAACCGTGTCTCCGGCGTTCGTCTGGCGGACGGCGTGACGGAGAACGGCGGTAGGAAACGAACACGCACGCAGAACGTGCGATGCTGCGACCAACTCGCCTGTATGTGCACGAGGTAGTCGTACTCGTGCACCCTCAGCAGATCGGTGATGAGCGCCGGTTGGATGAAAGACGGGTCCACCCACTCCAGTCCTCCTCGAGTTTACCCAAGGCAAGAAAGGCAGGGCAAGCAGAACATGAAGAACAAGCGAAGTAAGCAGAGCAAGCAACACGAGCAGGCCAAGCAGAGCAAACAACGTGTCATGAAAACTACTCGTTGTTTTGGTAGGCGATGTGAGTGCCTTCTATACTTTTATTTTTTCTCATGAAAAGAAGGGCACACGCACAACCTACGAACCAAACGTTGCGTTCAATAATATTGTGGCCGGCTGACCAATCAAAAGACGGGACGAAAATGGTAAAAGCCTGTTCTGTGTTTGTGGTTGCTCATCATATTGATATTCTCTGTCGTTGCGCTAGTGCCAAGCAAGGAGGGTGCTGCTACTGCTCTTGCGCTTGTTGATGCTGTCGTCGTCTATCGTGTCGAGGTTTCGCCAAGAATAAACCCACCATGATCGCCACACACCACTAGCCCAGCAACAAACCAGCCCTGGCGGCAGAATAGATCTTGGACCTCCTCTGCACACTAGTCTTTCTTTCTTCGTGACAAACACCGTCCTGTGTTAAGGCATCAAAAAAACAGCTCAACAAACACATTGCTGTATCTCGTCATGTAAGTGCTGTTGCTGCTGTACTACGAATATGCCAGACACCTTGGAAGGTAGTCCTCCGTAGGGCGCCTTGCTCCCCGCACAGCAGCTCGAGTCGCTTGGGCTTCTCCTGGTGGTTCTCGTGGTCCTCGACCCCCCTGCCGTCGCATCATGCAGGGAAAGCCAACAGTACGAAGCAGGAAATAACCAGATAACGAAACTCCGCACAACATACTAAGTAGCATGAAATGGGTAAATACCCTCGCGGTGAATATTGTTGTGATCGTCGAGTCCCTTGGTCGTACACCTCGGGACGTTGTGGTTTGTGGAACCAAAGATGGATACGACCAATGGTATCTTTGAACACCGACAACACGTGTCTGAACCGGCTGATTTCTCACATGTGCAGGAGGCACTCCGGTGGGTAAACTACCAGAGTGCGCCTCTCCGTCGCCGCCGCCTTCGAGGGCGGGGACGCCATCGATTCATCCCCTCCTTCCTGGCGCAGGCCGCCCACGTAAGAAGAGGGAGCGCTCGTGATGGCCATCTTTTCGGAGGGCACGCGCTCAACGGTCATACTTTCAACGGGTATAACTGCTGCTGCTGCTGCTGCCGCTGCTGCCGCTGCTGCCGCTCTTGCCGCTGACGTTCCCGCTATCGCGGCGGCGGCGATCTCCGGAGATTGTTCGACCGTAGTCGCCGCTGGCGCGGGCGGCGGCGGCGGTGGGGGCGGGGGCGGGGGCGCATCCGCTTCCTTGAAGAAGTGCATCCTGCTCCGTTTACGAGTGACAAAAGAAAAAAGGGAGACAAAAGAGAGGCAGGTACATCAAGCAGTGGAAGTGTGTCAGAGTAGAGAGTTGAGGCCTATTTTGGTGCATATGTCAAACATGTAGCACGTACGATGCGGATTGTCTTCAGGTTATCTGTCTTCCCGCCTGCCTCTAGCTCGCCCAGCGTACCAAAACGAAAACACGCGGTGTGCTTTCTTGGGTAGTCCGTTCGAAACCCGAACAGGAGCTCGAAAGCACGGAATAGCATAGGCTTATCTATACAAGTAAATACCCTGGAAGAAAAGCATACACTCCGTGGAGGCACGGCAACAAAAACGAGCGGGAGCGCGAGAGAGCGGGGGGTTTAAAACCAACCCTTGCCTGCGCGCCACGCCGCTGACCCCTCCGGTGGGGGCAGGCGATGCGCTGTCTTTGCGGTAGGTGTCGTGGTCGTGGTGGTGCTTCTTCGCGGGGGACTCCATCGCCCATTCCTGGTCGTCCCCGTCATCCCCGTCCCCGTGCTCGAATTGCAGGCCTGCAAGCCTGGCCGTAGCGCTGGTTTAAATTTCAAAACATAATCAAACATGTACACGGACATCAAGCAGTCAATTCGATCAATCACGGCCGTTGGACAATTAGAGGAGGCTTGTGCGGGAGTATTTACGGCGGTGTATTCACCAACCTGGACGAAAACGGGTTCCTGGGTCACACGCTCGGTCATGTTGCGCTCATAATATCAGTGGAAGAAACATGCGCGTCCGAGCGTGCACCGTGCGGGGAGCCCGCGAAATCAAGCGTCGTCGTGTTTCTTGGTCGGCTGGGAGCGCCCGTGGTCATCTTCGTTGGTCAGCCGGCAAGCTCGGCCGCTGCTGCAAGCACACAATTCCAGCATGGGCGAAACCACACAAAAGAGCAGGCAAAGACAAAGAGGCTATTGTACGGCGACGGAGAGGCCCCCGGCATGTAGAAGCGCGTGGAGACATGCCGTCTAGAGCAGATCGTAGTGATAGACACTCCAAGGTTGGGGAATATCTGGCACAATATGCGGGGGCGCGCCCCTCGACCAAATTCTCACCGCCCCACTTCATCCCCCGGGCTGTTGGTGCTGCCGCTGCCGCCCCAGCCGAGGCGAGCCGCGTACGGAGAAAACGACGCGATATCGACGCCCCTACTCCTCCTCTCTCCCCCCCCGCCCCTTCCCTCCACCTCCATGTCCATCGTGCGCGTAGTCTGCTTCTGCCCGCTACCGCCACCGCTGCCGCTGCTGCGGCTGCTGCTTGCGCAGGGAAACTCCCGCCGTTTTCTGCTCATCCAGCCTTCGACGGACCCGCTGCCCGCGTTGGCATTCACGCCTCCATCTCCGCCGCCGCCACCGCCGCGGCTGGGCGTAGTGTGTGACGCCGCCCGGTTCTTGCGGTCGGCGGCGGCCGCGGCGGTGGCGGCGGCGGCGCTCGCTCGGCGGCGGCGGGAAGGGGACGACGAGGAGGACGAGCGGCGGGACATGGCGGACGTCCGGCGAGTGGGGGAAGACGAGCGGCGGATCGACGGAGAGGACGACAACGTCATCGGAAGGAAAAAGAGAACAAAAAAAGGTTTGGGTGGGTTGGGGTGGGGCGCAAAAAGTGCGAGATGCGCCGCGCCAGTGCGAGTGTTCGTAGTCGTGGCGAAGCCAGCCGGACTTGATTTTTATTGGTGGCCTGACGTTTGTTGTCGTCCAGCTCTCGTCCCTGAAGCGGTTCGTTTCGGGGTGCGGGCGGGGGGCGTTGGGGGAGGGGGGGAGGTTCAGTCGAGCTGCGTCGTGCTGTGTGCAGGCCATACAGAAATAACTGCTGTGATTCCCCTTACCTTGCTATGGTCTTGGGCCGAAAACAACCCCATTATCTGATGGTTTGATTTCGGCTTCTATTAAAAATAGTCGTCGCGGGGTCCCCGAATGACCCGACACTTGTCACCAACCACACCGAACCAACGCAAACGTTTTTTCTCAGACACACACATACGTCACACGTGAACCGCTTTCGCTCCAAGGATGGTCAGACGTTGTTCAAACGACATTGCAATCAGGGAGCGGGTTAAACTGGTATATGCCGAACAAGGTAGAGGGCCCGAACTTGAGACGAGAGCTTCACAGCTGCGGGACGACTTGTATGCAGTGGTATCCCCAAGTGCATGCCATCTATCTGCACTCTATGGGGGTTGCATCGCCTTCGGGAGTTCGAAAGTCCCAAACATGACCTCTCTCGAAAGCCCGTACCGCTGTTGAAGGTATATGCCTGTCTCTCTCGTTTTAGTCCCCCAATAAACTGACTGCTTCTCCCTTTGATCAGGCGGCTATTATAGTGCGGTCGATGCCACTTGAAGAAACACAAATACACACAGCAATTCGAATTCCAGTCTTCATGAACGGACGTGGGTCTAATATATACCTGGGACACGTTTGCTGGCAATTTCAAAGCCCGCCTCTGAGAGGACGAAAGGACACGAAATCCACCAGCTCACCAGCTCAAGTTTGAATCTCACTACAAGTATAATACACGCTACGTGAGATATGTATACATAGGTATCCCATCAAGTCGCGCCTCTTTGACGACTCGCCAAGCGCCCGCACAGCAGAGGGCCATAACAACAAACAATGGAGGCTACCTCTGCTCTCGCCCGCACCGCCCTCTGGCAAAAGTGGGTCCGTTGTTGAAATACTGCTGCTGCTGCTGCTGCTGCTGCGGATTGTTAAATTTGAGAGCCACGATGGGCACATGATGCGACATGCCCGTGGGGCGGAAGCACGGTGGTCAATCAAGCGTAGGGCGACAAGGGTCGAGAAGGCAGCAGCACAGTAGTGCAGCTCTGCTGCTGTTGCTGCCACCTTCTTCGCAATATGGTGTGTAAGGCAGGCAACTCAACCCCGCGAACTCAACCCGCGGTAGCATCGCCTGCGGAGATGAACGGAACCACACCACCGAATAAATTCAAAATTCGATACGCCTGCAAGTGTATCCAACTACTAAACTCACCTTCGAATCCAGTGAAGAGAGAAGCCGTCTCAGCAGCAAAAAAAGACGCCTCCAGCTCTTCCGTGACTGTGTAAGCGGCGCACTTTTCCAGTCTCTCTCTCTATGGTCTCGCTTCTACTCTGCTGCAGCGAGGGCAGGCAACAGTCTGCTGCTGTGGTACGGTCTTTCGGAGATCGTCCGGGGCTCCGAACAATACATTTTAGTCCCACACGTAGGGGGGTATGCATCAGAACATCTGGGTGCCCCCCAAGCCGCAGCGCAGCAACCGCGCTCTCAGTTGGTCTGCTCCTGCTGCTCTCCACCCCCTTGCTCCCTGCAACCCCTCAGCAAAGATGGCGCCCGGAAAGAAATCGGTGGGTGACAATCCTGCCCTTGTGGGTCAACGGCACGTCGCTGGAGGCTAACGCCAGCTTCGTGCGACACACTCACGGCGCGGTGCAATTATTTCGTGGCTGTGGCGTGTTTTTGAGAGTCAAGTGCCTAGGCGATCCGTGATGAGCGCCCCCCTTGCACGCCTAGCCCTCTGTCTCTCGCTCGCTCTCCCGAGTGGATAGAGGACGGCGGCTGGGGAGGGCCCCATCTCGGGGATAGGCTAATGTAGCAGCTGGTCTCAACTCCTCAAGTACCCGAGAGATCCACGTTTTCTTTTCTCGAGAGAACGCGGGGACGGGGTCTGCCGGCCTCGCACACAGCGCGGTTGGTGCTATAACAAACGTGGGTTGTGATTGGTTTTCTCTCCCTAGAGGGTTTATTCGTGTCCCCTTCCAGTCTTTGTTTCATGTGCGATTTTCACGTTTGCTGTCGTTACGCTTGCTTGTCTACATGTCTCCTTGGGAGACGCGGCCTGTTTTTTCTTTCTCGTGTGTTTCTGTGTTTCTGTGTTTCTGTGGCTCCTACGCAACGCGGCGGAATTTACCGTAGGTGACGTCTTGGTGACGTATGATATCACACCCCCTTGGTTGGACCGATTGTCAAAATCGTCCACAGCACAAAAGAGTGGCAGCCCCGACAATGGCGGGAGGCGTTGAAACCGCCTCGTTTAGAGCTTTGCGGAAACGTATCATTTATGTATCCTCTTCGTCGTGGAGTAGCGGAGCTTTGAAAATCGGTCCAGGGGTTTTGGCACTCGTGGCACCCAACATACGATTCGTCTGTCGGTGTTTGTTGGTCTCTGCATCGTCGGTTGTTGGTCTGTCCCCAAGGCTCCCTCATTCCTCCCACCGCGCCGTAAACAAGTACCTTCCGCACCATCGTTCGTGTAAAGGCTACAAGCCGGCTTGGGGTGTACCGTAAGGTTTCGAGTCAGCGCACAGGGAGTGCGAACTATTTTCAAAGCGTAATTTCTCCACAATCAGGAGGTTGGTTACCACTGTCGAAAGGGGCGGTTTTGGAAGTATCTCATCGAGAGCTTTCCCGAGAAGTATCAGTTGGCGCTCGCACCCTCCTGGTTGTGGAGAAATTACGCTTTGAAAATCGATCGCACCCCTGTGCGCTGACTCGCAACCTTTACGTATGCGCCATGAGGTAGCTCTTTCGTGCCGTGTGCAGGCAGACAAGCCCGCGTGATGAACAAACCAAGTTTGGGTTGTTTGTTTCGCCCATTGCTTGTTGCAGTAGGTGGCTCTCACAGACCCTACTGTATCTTGGTTACAGCCACCCACGTGCCTACCTACCTACAATTTGCACCTGTTTGCACTACCATACAAAAGGCTCGTTAGAACAGACCGGCGTGCAAGCGCTGGCTTCGCCTAACTGCGCCCGCTGGTTGCTGCTCGCTCGACATCGTCAATCTAGCGCTGTTGCCTGGCACGGACGACGAATGATTTTTGCCTCATCATGCCGGTAACCCCAAACCTCCCTTCGTCGAAGGGCTTGACATTCCGGACACGGGTGCTTTGTTGTGCTGGAGGTTGGGGTGACGTGCCGCCATGATGAGACGTTACATTTTCGCTCTGCGTTTGCCGCGACTATCCTCGTCCTCTGTGTGCCTCGTTTGTGACGTACGTGCATAAAAGCGGTAGATGACCCTCCGGAATCACGCCAAGAACGTCCACTTAGAAGACAAGGATACTCGCGGCGATACGCAAAACTTATATATGTATCCTTCCATCACGGCATTGACACACCCCAACCTCTGGTACTTTGACGTCCAGTGCCCACTTGGAGGTTGTAAGGAATGCCCACCCCTTGCGCGTGCGTCCATGAAGGAAATCATTGAACCAACGTGCCTGAAATCGTGGATGCTCCAGCGTTAGGCGTATCCCACGCAAGCTGGAAGTGGGCACGACAAACTCTTATGCTCCAAGCGCTAGGTACACACGCCCAAGAGAGGTCTATTTAGTTCGTCGGTATTGTAGATGTGCACGGAACGTCTCATCTTGCTCGAGATTTTCGTTCGCTTGGCAGGTCGTGTGCGCGATTTGCGTTGGGCGTTTCCAAGTATTCGTGTGACTGCCTGCCGTGCTCGTGCTCAAGCTGAGTAAAATCTGCGAAAATCTTGGGGCCCACGACACGATGAGGAGAAGCGTGGATAAATCATGTGAAGCACCCCCGCTGCCGCGAATTTCCCAGCCGGCCTTTGACACAATAAACTACGAGAGATATTCTCCACGCTACACCCCCAGACTTTTTTGTTTGTTGTTGTGCTCCTCCCGCCTACGTCACCTATTCTCGCGCGGGCATTGCATGTCTTCTTGCTGGAGTGTGTTTTTCCGAGCAGAACCAGTAGTTAGGTTCTACAAATTACCTGTCCATAAATGAACGTCCGGGATAAACTCGAGAGAGTGGCTCCGTACCCAGTTGGTTGATTGAATGAAATAGACGGGTCCGCGAACCGGCATTTTGCCGTCTTTCACGTGTATGCACAGTGCATTTGCTGCATCACATTTGCTGACTTTGTTTTTTTTCCCTTCCCCCTGACCTCCCATCTTGTTGTATCTCCGTTTATTTTTTTGTCGAGCAGAAGAAGGCGATCGAGTCGATGAACGCCCGGCTCCAGCTGGTGATGAAGTCCGGCAAGGCCTCGCTGGGCTACAAGAGCACCATCAAGTCCATGCGCAGCACCCGCGCCAAGATGGTGCTCATCTCCAACAACTGCCCGCCCCTCCGCAAGTCGGAGATCGAGTACTTCGCCATGCTCGCCAAGTGCGCCGTGCACCACTACACGGGCTCCAACACCGACCTCGGCACCGCCTGCGGGAAGTACTTCCGCGTGTCGGTGCTCTCCATCACCGACGCTGGCGACTCCGACATCCTTCGCCAGGGCGCGGAGGCTTAAGATGGACTTAAGACCGCCGCCCTGCCTGCCTGCCTCAGCTTTTTCTTCCGTCATTCGTGTGTAGTAGCCGGAGAGACATCGTTGTGTTTTGGCTGCATGACCCGTCTTGTGAAAAGAGAGAGTTGCTGGACGGGAGAGAGAGGGCGTGCGTACGTGTGAGCGGCGTGGGGCCTGTTGTTGCGTAAATGGCAGGCTTTCCCACCGGAACCGCCATACGCTCTCACGCCATTTCCACTTCTTTCATCTGTAGACTTTTGTCTCGTTGGAGAAGGAGGTTTGTGGGGGTCGCCTCTTTCTTGATCTTCAGTATTGGTGGGGCGGGAGATGCGGTTGCCGGGCAGCAGACAACAACCTCTGTGGGGTCTTTTGGGTTGAAAACTAATGGATCTTGTGGACCAACCTTTTTTGTCTTGCATATTGTTTTGGTTGCGTTTACGCGTGCACCGTGTCCGATCGACGGTGTTCGGGAGTGATTCTTGCGCGACGGTAACGCGCGCACATGCCACTGTCGTCGGCCTGCGGATGACCACACTGCTGTGTCGTTACGCGGACGCGACCGGTTTACCCATGAATGGATGTGGGAAGATCTGTTCCCACACATCGTGTGACGGGTTTCTTCCCGAACAGAACATGGGCGCAAACACCGCTCGCTGTTTTTTGTCGGTCGTCCCCATCGCTCATATCTTGCCCACGTAAGTAGTTTGCGCCCATTCTCGGAGACCTCCGCCCTAAATGTTTTGGTCGAGACGTCAAAGCTGCTGTAAGAAGCTTTTTCTTTTTTTTTCTCGGCGAACAAACCACGAAAGGCAGGAGAGATCGAGACAAACGCCACGAAACACCGCGCACGACGGATGCCACAAAGTGTAAACGCCTATGAAATGTACTTCGCGAACACATGGGAGGTACAAAACGAACAAAACGAAAAACGCAGGCACCAAGAAAACACAGTACAGATGATTTTTCGCGACGTCGACCGAAGCGAAGCGTAAGGTGGTGTCGGGGCTGGCTCCTGTGTGTCATGAGGGGTGCGATGTCGACAACAAGAGTAGCCTGTTGGTTGTCGAGGAGGTCGGATAAGAGACCAGAGGCGCCGATCAGGACGTTGGAATGAGGACAGCACTTGGACGAAGTTGCCCGCAACAACAGCAGTTACTATTCCTTCCACGCCCACGTGAAAATCCAGCAACACAGCAAGCTTGAGGAGATTGATAAGGAGAAAACTAGGCTTGGTTCATGAGATTGGCCAAATCTCAAACCAAATGCACCGTGAAGCCTATCTTATGTATCGCCTTCTACGGAGAAACTGTCCCAAAATCGTCTTGCTCTTCTTGAGGCCCACTCACTGAAAACACTCCACCACATCCCGTTCGACTGTGGGTATATATATCTCGAATGGGTAGTCTTTCTGTGTGTGTTTTTATTAGACTATTCCTTAATTGTTGAGGCCCAACAGAAACTGGCCTAAGCGCAGCTTTCTTTCTTCGTGCACGCAATTTTTTTCTTTCGACCTTCTTTTCGTTTCGACATGTCGTGGGCTCACTGGCTGGCTAGGCTGTCCTTCCACAACACCCTGTCGCTCTCCAAAGCCTCCATAACCGCCCTACTCGTGTAGAGTAGGGGAAACTAGAAGGCAATGGACCTTTCTTTACAGCAGTACCATCCATTTCATACCGCCCCAAAACAGCTAACAACGTATGTCCACTCTTTCTTCGTCCCGCTCTGCCTACAGAGACTTGACGGACGGTATTTTTCTTGGGTCAACCGGAGTATAGCACCATCCAGTTAAATCAAGCAACACACACAACAGCACAGTTTTCAAGTCACTGCTGGCAGATCGGGTATCCCCATCCCTGCTCTCCCCGATACCTACCACCATAGGCCCACCGCAGGTACACCGGCTGCAAAACCACGACGACGACGACGATGACAACGACGCTGAATTGAAAGTAGGCCGCCGACCGGCAATCCACCCAGCAAGAAACCGAAAGCCCTCTAGCCTCTGTGGCTACCCTGGAGTGGAGAAGGGAAGCACCGAACACAAGCAAGAGCACACAAAAGACTACAATATCTTATTCCAAAGACTACTGTCCTTGGGGGTCATCAGCCGGTGGCACCACCCAATTCTGTTGTGTTGAGAAACTAAAATACACACACACGACACACAAACGCACGCAAGACGGACACCGACGTACGACACCGACGTACGGAGCAGACGTGCGAAAGGGAAAACTCCGACAACAACACCATCGAAAACCAAAGACAAAAAGTCAGAACACAAGAAGGTAGAAAAAGTAGCGGTGGCAAGACTACATACGGTATACGATATGCGTACCGTTACAACAAAGCGAGCAGCAAGCAGTGTTTGCCGGTGGGGAGCGAGGGGGCACACGGATAACACCCGATATTCTAATTCTCGGGGCGCAAGCCAAAAGCCACGTCAGGCAGCCTTGCGTCCCTCAACCAACACAGAGAGAGGCTTGGGTGGTGAGATCGCCCAGAGATAATCGAAAGACTTGGTTGAGGAGGAACAGAACACGACACAATGTCCACCGTCTTTACACCAACACACCAACCTTCCGGGCGGGGGGGGGGGGAGGGGGGTGTACTCATAGTCGTGCATGCCGTAGTCGTTAGACCATTGACCTCGCATCCCTACAAAGCCGGGACGGAGCATGCCGGGTTCTCACCGGACCAGGGTCTCACATCACCAAACCGGAGCGGGGGGGGGGGGGGGGGCCCAAAAACGGTCGCCCCGGGGGCCCCCCCCGCGCCCTCTTTTAAAAAAAAAAACCCCCCCCTATTTATGGAAAACAACCGTCCCCCCTTTACTTTTCCCCCGGGAAACCCACCAAAAAAAAAAAAAGAAAGGGGTGAAAAGGACCCCCCGGTAAAAAAAAAACCCCCCCGGGAAAAAAAAAAAACTGAAATTTTAACCCCCCCGGGCCCCCTCTTTTAAGGGGGGGGGGGGGGCCCCCCCCC